TGGTGCCCACGAAAGCCTGGTGACACCGGGGCATGGAGGGCAGCAGGGGATGTGCACTGGCCGGGTGGAGAGTTGGCCTGGTGGGTCTGATGGAGTGAAGGGAGGCTGATGCTAGGTGGCAGGTCTTTGCAGTGATATAGGGGCAGAGGGAACAATGGGAAGCGCTTGTGTGTCATATGGACTCCTATTGGGCATGTATTCTTCACTTTTAAGATCACCATACCTGGTGTGACAGAACACATTGTTGGCATTGGGATGAAGTGCAGCAAAATTAAAAGAACCTGAAACTCAGGCTGCTCCTGAGTGTGTCAGCAAACATGGCGGTGCAATGCATTCAGGGACAATGTCACCTGAGTGTGTAGAGCCCAAGAAAGGCTTTGGGGAGGTGGAGGTTCTGGCCTCTGAGGAGAGGGTGCAGCACAGCCAGCCAGGAGGCAGCCCTGGGGAGTCTTTCCCTGCATGCAGAAAGCTTCTGTGGCAGAGAAGTTGACCTGGGATCCTAGGACGCTTCTCTTGAGGGTCAGCGTTTTGCTTGACAGCAGGAGCTGTGAACCAGGAGCATGGGTCAGCGGGCACAGTTGTTTAGGTAGCAGAGCCACTTAGACCTGAAGGTCTCAGGCTGGGCTGTGGCCTCAGAGCAAGGTGCATCCTAGGAAAAGCCTCCATGAGGTTCAGATGATTCCATCCTATAAGCTGTTTCTTCAGGGACCTTGAGCAGAGGCTTTCCAACCCTCTCAGGTGACAATTCCCGTTTCTGTTGTTACACGTGGTGCCACCAAAATGTGGGGTTCTGGATGTCCAGCCTGTGGAGGGCATGACCACCCTCACCGCTCCTTTCATTAATATATTTTGTGATAGAGATACTGGGAAAAGGGAATTAACTTATTTGAAAGTCAAGAGATGCTGATTTGAGAAGACAGATTCATCGATGTATGCAAGGGGGACAGTTTGGACAACTGTACTGTGCATTACTCCTGGTCGATGGAAAGGAGCAGAGAGCAGTTTGTTTTGTCTCCATTTCTCAGTTGTCTGTACTTTTTTGCTTCTTAATATGTGGTGCATTTATTTTTTTCTTTCTTCTCCCAATTTTGAAGCACATATCTAGTAATATGAATAAGTGGTTGGAAAAGAACGCTATGTATTACCACAAATACTGTGAAATTCTTGCTACTCTTTTACTTACGTGGAATTCTGTATCACTTGTAATGATACCTGTTTTAGTTCTAATTTGTACTGTCTTTTAAAAAATAGAATTAAGATACTGGGTGGGCACAGCTGACACCAAATGGGCCTGAACTGTTGGCCGCCTCTGGGTAGGTGCAAGCCTTTTCAAGAACTCAAATGGCAGAAATGTGACATGTGAGTAGGAGGGGTAATTCTTTACAGTGACAAAGAGAACTGGCAGGAGAGAGGCGTCAGAGAGTAAAACATTTCCTCGTTGGCCCCATTTCCTCTAGAAAGCTGCCTGGCTGACGGGCAAAGGGCCATGGACTGGGCCTCCCCAGAATTCGGTGCATTCGCAGCACCTCTTGGGGAGTCAGGGCGAGAAGCCCCTGCCTGGACCCTGCAGAGCTGGACACGAGGGTGCTTTGGCTCGTCGGCTTTGAGGCTGGGTGGGAGTATCCATGGCTGTCATCCCTGAAGAGGTGCCCTGAGAGTATACCGGAAATGGTCCTTCCCTCTTGTGGGACCTTACTGCCACCTTCCTCTGGGTCATACATATCACCAGCACAGCCACCCATTCTGACCTCAGCAGCAGGCAAGCACTGCTGGCTGGCATGTATGGAGCAGCTGTGCCTGGCACTAGGCTCAGCACTCACCATGGCCCATGGCCCAGAGCGCTCCTGGCGGCCTTGGGCAGTGTGTTCTACCACTCTGGCCGTTTCATCAGTGAGGAAATGCAAACTGGGAGCCTTGAGTCTCTTGCACCCCTTCCAGCTATGAAGTAGCGGGGAGAAGTTAGAATCTGAAATCTGGGCTCCTCACCACTGTACCGTGATCCGAGCAGCCAGTGTTTGTGGTTCTTCCATTCCGTTTGCTTCTCAAGCTGAATTTAGTGTGTGTGGTTTGTTCGTCTGTTTCTATTGGTTGGTGCCTGCTGAGAAGGGCAGGACGTGCCACAGCTGACGCCACCTACCTGCCCACCCGCTCGGCCCCGCTCCTGCTCCACTTCCCTGTACTACCGCACACGGCTCTCCCACCTCCTCCTTGCTTCCTCTTTCAGTGTGGCATCTGCAGGAAGCCAATGGGCGACCTCCTGGATCAGATCTACCTGCATCGAGACACCATCCACTGTGGGAAGTGCTATGAGAAGCTCTTCTAGGTGGGTGCCGCCCGCTCATGGGACAGCAGACAGGACACTCATGGAGGGAGAAATTTTCTGGTCTTACTGTAGGGTACAGTATGGCTCCACCTTGTAGAGGCACAGACAGAGCCCCTCCCTGAGGACGCTTCCCAAGCTGCCGAAGGCGCAGTCTCCTTCTCTCAAGAAACGTCTTCCATCCAGCACCCTGTGTGCCTGCTAGCTTCTCTGCACCATGAGCTGGGCCCGGTTAGCCCTCATTTCTGCCAAGGAAATACAGACCTGGGAAAGGAAAGGCTCTAGGGAACTACCTCCATGTTTACAGCGGAAGCAGGACCTCACTGGGCCCTGTAGAACCAGCCCCCACTGCCCACCTGATTCCCATTCAAACTCAGTCGCCCCATCGGGTCAGCCTCTGTGCTCAGAGCCAGTGGCGGTGCCCGCAGGGTCCAGGCACAGAGCAGAGTAGCTCCCTGGGGCACAGAGAGCAAGGCTAGCGACCAGACCTGTGTCCCACGGCACACAGTTGCCTTCTCGGGGGAAAACGCATCCCTGCTGACCTCTAGCTGCTGCTGACGGGCCAAGTAACCCAGCCAGGAGCTGCTGGCTGTGTGTGGGGTGGGATGTAGTTGCTGTGCTGATAGCTGCTTCTGTTTTGCTTGCAGCTCCAGGGCACCGAGAAGCTAAGGGGTCCTGGATGAGACTGACTGCCCAGGTGGCTGGACGCTGTTCCCTGCCTTCCTCCCTCGGATACCTTCATCCTCTTGGCCTTCTTAGGTTGCGCTTGCCTGCCTCCAGCATCCCGTCTACGCAGTGCCACGGGGATTCCTTCCGTGTAGCTTTCAGTGCCTGGAAGGCGCTTTGTGTTCAAAGGCTTCACTCAGGCTAGGGCAGAGGACTGAGCAAGAATGGCGTCCTGGCTTCCCCAAGTCACACTGGCTTTCCAGGGAGTGCAGGTGGCAGAGCTGCAGACTGTTGACGAGCCCTGCTGGGTAAATTACAGGCATTAGATGCTGAGGGTTAGCTTAGGCCAGTCCTCAGCTCATCTAATGTCAGTACGTGTTCTTCATTTTCCATACCATTTGTAGAGTAGTTAGAAGCCTGTGATGGAATGCTGCACACCACTTCCCTAACCTTCCCCTTCATGCCTCTCATGGGAGTGGAACTTGCCTCGCAGGTGCATGGGAATGCAATAGAAGGGTTATGCAGCTAGGCCTAAATTCCTTAGCGTTGGGTTCACAAAGCTACTGACCAAAGGGCCGTTGAGTGGGGACAGCTGATTGATACCATTGCCCTCAGTTCCTGCTCCTTGAGCTTCCCACCCACATCCTCTCAAGTGGCCTGTAGGGACAGTGGACCCTGGAGGGAATGGCACGAGCCACAAGCAGCTGACAAACATTTCTTGCTGCCTTGCTACCTGTCAGGAACTATGATAGAGAGAAGTTCTCAGTCCCCAGAGATGGCGTCCTTTCCCCATGTCACAGATGGGGCATGGGAGGCACAGAGCGGTGCACGGTGTGTCTGAAGAGCCTCGAGTGGCACCACCGCTGTCCCTCCCCTGGAGCCCACGCTCTGTCCAGGAGCCAAGAGTTATGTATATGTGGGTGCCCACAGCTTTGGAGGAGGTAATCCCCCAGGGAGACCTGCCCTCGGGGCAGATGCGAACTCCCATTCCTGGCATCCCATGTCCCCTGAAATCCCCTGCCTCCAAGCACTGTCAGCCAAAGGTGTGAGCCTTCCTCCCCTCCCCTCTCTGTGACATGTGCCCCAGAACTGATGCTCCTGGCTGGCAGCAGAGCAGCCTCTCATGCGGTCCACACAGGGGTCTGTCAGCCCAGAGGGCGTGCTCTTGGGCTAGGAGCCCCAGCAAGCAGCAGTCGGTGACCTCCACTTCCTCAGTTCAGTCCACCTCCAGCTGGGGCACCTACCGGGTGACCAGGCACTCACGTTGGGGCGATCTCCTGGGGTGTGGCCGGTGCGGGCCCACTTTGCTCAGGCCGTGTTCAGCTTCACCTGCAGGCCCTGCAGGCCGCTGCAGCCTTTGCCCCCGGATCTGGCTAATGAACCTCTCAAGAGGGAGAATCAACCACCTTAGAGTTGCTCGCATGCAGGCCCAGGGCCTGTCTCTTGAGGTCTCTAAGCTGTCTCTCCAAGAGTCTCCTTTGCAGCCCTGTGTGCCCTGGTGGCGGACTTCTTTGTTCTTCCCGCCACGTGAGTGCAGGGGACGTTCTGTGAATCTGCAGAGCTGCGCTGCAGGGTTGCTCTGCCAGGAAGCAGGGGGCAGGGTGCCCTGTAAGCACACTGCATGCGGTAGACTTCCTCAGGGTGGCTCCTGGTGTTGGACTTGGCCCAGCGTGGGCACTCCCACACAGACGCCACGTGGATGACTACAAGAGACAGAAGTCACTCGGCTGGGGAGAGCTGCCACCTCGGAGTGTCAGCAGGGGCCCGGTGATGCATGGCAAGGCGAAGAGCCCCAAGAGAGACAGGTGCCCCCCTTACAGGGACACACTGCCGTGCAGGGCGGCTCAGAGCCGACAGACAGGACTGGGAGGCAAGGCGTGCGAGATCCGTGTGGATTCATCTGAAACGGCCCCTCGTGTCTCTTTCAATCGAGCATTCTGCAGCCTCAAGGGGGAGGGGTGGCTGCGTCGCCTTCCGGCTCCTTTGCAGCTGCTGAGTGTGTCTACTCGCACTCGCTCACGCCACAGCAGTGTACACAGTTTGCATAAACGCTCAGATGTTACCCGTGTCAGTGTGAAAGTCTCCTCGTGAAGGGTGATAACTGGGTGTATTCAGCCGCGGGGCTTGCCGCATCCTTCCCCTTAACAGAAGCAGCCGAGTGCTGACCAGGCAGGGATGGGAGGCTCGTTCGCACAGGGGTGGAGCCCAGGCTTGCCGAGGCCCGAGAGGTGGCGCACTGCGCTTGGGAGGGTCCATCTGCGCCTTGAACGCCCTCACACGCAGGGCCACCGAGGCCGTCCTGCACACATGCAGGACCTGGAAGTATCACGCCCCGGGCCTGGACTTGGCACAGGACTGAGCCTCCTTCATTTTTTCTCATCCCGTTCGCTTCACCTCCCTGCCATCCTGTGGTCCCTGCCCCACCAAAGGGAGATCTACCTCCCTACTGCTACGGTCTGCCTTGCACATTGCTCTTCCATTGCATTTTGGCTTTCTCATCTAAGAGAAGCCATGTGACCACTGGGGAAGCTGAGGTGGGAGGATTTCTGCCTGGGGTGCGTAGTGAGTTCAAAGCCAGCAGGGATTGCATAGAGAGACCCTCTCTCTAACATAGGAAAATGAAACACAACAAAGCAAAGGAAAACAAGAAAGAAACCACGTGATATATCCGGTCATGCATAAACTGTACATCCTTTCGAACGGTGCTCTCAGTGAGTGCCCATTTCCCACAAAACAACGAGCTTTACATTTTGTATGGCAGGGTGGCCCTCCGCTGTGAGTAAATTCCCCGTTCAGAAAACGGACACTTCCCTTGAACTCTGGCCTCCACGGATTGACATCTGTGTCCCTGTGGTTGCCACCCACGGTGGTCTCGCCTCCCTCTCCTGAACGGCAGCCCTCGCAGGGATGGCGCTCCTTCTCAGGGGCCCTCTCTCAGACAGCTGCTCCCATTTACCCGTTCCTGGTCCCTTCGGCTCTTCCTTCACACCACTTCTCATCAGGCGGTGCTCCAAGGCCCTGTGCAGAGATGCCGCCTGCCCGTGTCCAGGGGAACCTACTCCTCCGCCTGGGTACCAGACGCAAGGCTGTTGCCTCTCGCTCTGTGAGGCCAGGGCCCCGGTGTTCTTCAAGATTGCAGTGCTGCCCTTTGGCCTAGAAAGTCATGCATGCTTCTCAGCTGCTCATTGTCACGGCTGATACCTGGACGTATGTACCCGAGTGCCTCCTGTGCTCACAGGGTGCGCCCTTCTCAAGAGGCTGGGTCCAGGTGTGGGATCCCAGGATTACGATTGCGTGGTTTCTAAATCAGCCCTCTGATTGGTTTAGCACCGTTCTGGTGTGGGTGATTGGGAAGCTCGCGCTAGGTGTGGGGACTCCCCAAAGGCTGGTCCCCCGGTCGGGAGCCGGGGGAGATCCAGGCCGGTGCTTCTCTTTCTGCTGTCTTGCTGCCCGCTGCCTCCTGCCTGGCGGCCCACGGAGTGCTTCTCCTCTGCAATCCCCTGGGCCAGGCCACCTGCCCTGGCCTGGAGTCAGCCTCCCATAGACTGAAACCAGAGCCCACTGTGAGTGGAAACGCACCTTTCCTCCACCAGCCCCGTTAGCTCTGTCTCCTCCAGGAAAAGCACAGCTAGGAGGAGTGTCATGTGGAGATGCAGGCTACATCCCACGTAAGTTGTGATCCAGCCTCACACGGGCATTCTAAGAGAGACAGCGCACCACTCGAAAGAGCTTCTACCACTGGGCAGGGGCCTCGGGGCTACTCTAAGAATGTCCCTCAGCCGCATCTGGGCTGCAGGGGTACAGTTGGGAAAGGAGGCAGAGCTTCTGCCGATGCACGAGACGGGACTGGAGCAGGGGCTCCCAAGTAGGCCTTTCCCCCTCAGCTCGGAGGGGGCATCGTAAACACAGGGCCCTGTCATATGGGAGCGTCCTAATCCTGACACAGAGGAGCCCGGAGAGCAGCGAGCCGCTGACCCTGAGGCGGGACAAGGGCTGCGCAGTGCTCACGGGGCGGCCTGGAGCTGAGAGGCCTAGAACGCTGGGTGGCT